TAAACTTATACCTTCTGCTTACCTTACCACGCTTTTAACCTTTAAAGCGACCCTAAAGAACTGCCTATAACAATATCTAATTTTATAATAGTTGATTTTAGCGATTCACATGGATATGGTTTATCTGATATTTACACATATATCACCTATATTCTAAACTTCTAACAAAGTTTACATTGTCATTGTTGAGATATTTGACAATACAGTGATATTCAAAATTTGATAACTACTTTAACATATAAGACTAACTATCATATTTAATGATTTTATAACCTTGCAAATGTAATTCTATAAAAGCAACTATATATGTTACATTATTTAATCATTCTTATAACTGATCTCTCTTATTTTCTGCCTATTTTTGTGAATCATAATGATCATATAATGCAAGAATATACTGATAATATGCAGGTACGTCTTTAGCTTAAATTCTATCTACATAATTATATCTCATCTGATTATAATATATATATTAATCATCAGAAATTCTTATTTTGCGAGGAATTATACCTAAAACTTCTTTTTGTCAGAAGTACCATCATTTCTCACTATATTTCAAACTCATTTTGCTTATGTTAACTTATAAGTTCTTATTAAATGATTTATATGGCTTTTTCTAATTTCATATTCATATGCATAATTATAATTAGCCAAGCCTTTATTAAATATAAAATAATATGTTTGATAAATATTTTCAATCTTATCAGAATTAAGTATTGATACACTCCTCCTTTTTTTACATTTTCTATATAAGTTTAGAATATGTTAGGCACCTTTCAGTAATGCATTTCTTTAGGTGATCATTCACATATTTTGATGGTATTTTTTCAGATAATTACTAAGGAGTTATATACAGTGCAATAAATATGAAATGAATACCTTTCAGCTTTAAATTTCCTATCTTTATATGATCTTTTAGTCATAAATAAATCTATTTTTTGAAAAGTATTTTGGATTATATTCAAGAAATTTCTTAAATAAATAATGAATATGAGAACACCACATTTCTAGTGTTTTATTACTATACCTATATTACAGATTGTTTAATGTTTATACTACTATAGGATTTAAACCAGAATAATTAGTTTGAACTATTTATGAATATAAAGAGTTTATAACAATTTTACTGATTTATTAATTTATTGCAATTTTAAAGACTTATAGCAGTTTTAACAGGTATATTATAATAAAATATCAGATTATTTTTATTCGATTACAAGCATATCGGGATTTATATAAGGCTTACATGTATATAAGGAATTTTCCAAAATCATAATTTGGTTAAATTAGTTTCGAGATAATATAATGGCTAAATATTTTCAGATCCATAACGTATACTGTATTACAGGAATTATCCTAACTTTCTGCTAGTTCTATAACAGTTCTACAATAACTCCTGAACACTTTTTCAATGCTGACTAGTCACTGAAATCACAAAATAATCAGCCAATCAGACAAAAGGCAATTAATCTAATCATTATATTTATCATATCATTATTCATATCATTAGATATTTCTTTATAAAACAAGCATTTATTCTCTAGAATTCTTTCTTTTATCAAGATGAAAGAATTATGTCTTCTATCAAGTGAAGTAATGCACAGACCCGCTTTTTCATTGACAAACGAAAATAAAGAAATACTAAATTTTACCTTACTTTGAATAAAAAAAACTTTTGATTTGGGATGACATTGCTGAAAAAATTAACGAATATGAAAATACCAATTTTTTTACTAGTATGGATTGTCGTAAAAGTTCAAAATTCTTAAGAAGGCATTTAGAATAAGTAATTCTTGCTTTAGTTTTATGAAATCTAGTTATTAGATGATGAAAAAATATAGGGAAGATACTAGAAACAAAAAGGAACTTAATCAGAAAGAAAATTTATGATGAATTCTCAATAAAGTTCTGGCAAAAACATGGTAATTAACTGAAAATGCTAAAGCATGTGTTTCTGGAAAAATAAATAGATGGTACTTTTAAAATTAACATGATCTTTTTTGTTAGATCTTCCATTTGAGCAGATACATAGTGAAAATATTAAGTCAACAGGATGAGTTTTTCTTCACCTATAAGAGCCTTTTTAGCTTTTTCTTGTAATAGATCATCAAAAAAAATTACCAAGAAGTCATCATCAAGACCTGTAACTCTATCTGTTAAAACATCTACAATTTCTAAACCTGTTATACCTACCCTTCCTTCTTTTTCCCAAAATACCAATATTATCAATGTCACCATTAATTATGCTGATGCTTCAGATAAGAAAGAAGAATAGGATAATTTTTTTATTATTGTAGAATAGAAACGTCAATAGCAAATTTTTAAGAAAGGGAACTAGCTATTATTTTTTCATAATTGTAAATAATACTTAATTGATTTATACCGTTACTTTTATAGGTGATAGATAGTATGTTAACATATATATATTGTGAGGTCCCTTAGGATCTGATCAGTATATAAATAAAACTTTGCGTATGATAGGCAGGCCAAGCCAAAAAAAAGCTAAATGCTTGAATGTTCAGATATATAAGATTTGTTATCTCTTTATTCACTACAAATTTATCTATTATGTTCCTACTTATCAATTATGAAAAACAAAAGGATCACACAAACTAAAAAATGACTACTGAAGAAAAGAATAACATATCTACAAATTTATTTAATATCTATACAAGCACATTTCTCACAATGCAATTTTTGCTACTTGCAAAGATTGACCAGTGGTTCTTTTTTTATTAATTATGTATTACAAAAAAAAAAATTTTCACAAAGTGTGTGCAAAGATAAATGCTATACTACTGCAGTATCATCATCTAACAATTATAATAATCATCAGTGAGAAAGGTTTGTGCAATATAATTCGATGTGACATGATTAATTATCGTTATAGTGTAATTTTCGCTCGAAACTAAGTAGTTGCTTGTAAAACCTCTTTAAAGTAGGTATCAACATAACGTGAATGAAAGGATACTGTGAAGTCCTGATGTTCTTTGAGAATGTTGATATCGACAAGTTTATGAATCATGTCAATAGGCATATAGGATCTAGCTTCCTCAATTTCAATATGATGTACATTGGCGAGCTTTAAGAAAAATTCGTGGTTTCTAGGAAGTTTCATCATATACAAATCCCTTTTCGTTTCCCAAAATAGTTTCTCCTTGAATTCTAATAAAAATAGGAATGTTAGACCGGAACAGTTAAGAAACCAATATTGCAACAAATACATACCTTCAAACGAATTTTTCCCCTGATTGATTTGATGTTCACTTAGGAACCGCTTCAATAAAGAAAATCGCCCACCCGTCAGATATTTCACTACATGTTCAGCGATTTTTGGGTCAATCTTAAAATCTTGTAGGAATTTTATTGCTTGTTCATCTGGGATATCACCAACTTCAAAAGGAATAGTTACCCGTGACCAGGCAGAACGAGCTATAATAATAGAAATGTGTTTTAATAAAAACAACTAATCATGTATAAAAGAATGTTAAAATCAAAATATCTTCTTGCAATGCAGAAGGTGTGGTGCCAAGCCTTCACTTGCAATAAATACAATGATAATTGAGCGTCTATCCGCATGGTCTTTCGCAAAATCTTGGAGTATACCAAAAAAAATTGGGTCTTGTTTAGCAATGCGATCCACTTGATCAAGAACCAAAATTATTGGCCGTTTGTGTTTTCTCATATAGTAAGATGCCACGTTGGAAAGTCGCATACTTAAGAGTTCCCAACTAGGGTATTTCAAATTATCGACTGGCTCTACATGCCAGGTGAAGCCTTTGTGAGTTAAATGCGAAGTGAATTATTATAAAATGTAAAAGAACATGTGGTACCTTTTCTTATTGCATTTGTCATCCACTGCATGATAACATCTCTAAACCTATATGTATATAGTTCACAATTCAGATGTTTTGCCAATTTCTTTGCAAAATGATTAATATCTGAGGGACACTCAAAATGGGCAACACCCTATTAAGAAGAAATAGAATGTGAATACATCGAAAAGAAAAGAAAATATTGAATAATTTACCTTTGGCTTTTCGAGTTTCAAAATGGTATTTCGAACCAAGGTTGTCTTTCCTGTACCATGCTCGCCCACAATTAGAAAGTAAGTTCCCATCTCTGAAGAGATTCGCAACATTTCTTTCAGCCTCTTTTCAAGATCCTCGCGTTTGATTAGATTTCCTATGACAGACATATCAGCCCCCAGATCGATTTTTCCCTTCTCGAAAATATCTACCATTTTTCGGATCTGATCATTAGGGGTTTCGTCGGTGAAATACCAATAAGAAGTCACTAAACCAATACCAGCGGTAGATAAAATTTTATTTCTGGCTGACTAGAAGAAAAAACCGGTTAAAATGAGTAGTAAATTTTTGGTAAAACATCTCAACGTACTTTCTTGGATGGGTCAGTCATCACGGTCTTGAATGAGTTCCAATACTTTTTCAGTATTTCTTCTGAGTGCCTGGTGAGAGTAAGGATGAGTGTTGAGGTTATGTTAAATAGGTTGATGTTTTTTACCTAGCCATCCTTTCCTTTTCTTGAGCACTACAATAGGATCGGATCAACATTAGTCGACAAGATCTAACATGAGGCAACACAGCAGAGCGAAAGTTCATGTTTGTTTACAGCTAATTTCATAATTCGTGGACCACTAATAAATTGCGACTGAATGCGACTGAAAAATTATTAATGGTCCATGAATGATGAAATTAGCTGTAAAGACCAAAAATTTTTTTCATCAAATTTATATGGAGAATTTATATAGGTCCAGAAATACATATTTTAAGATTTTTTCACATGTTATGAGCTTCTTAAATGATCATCGGTTACACAAGCTATTTATATAGTGTATACAATAGAACAATATGTCATATTAAAACACATTAAAGACGCATCCGTTTGACGCAATATTTCATTAGGACATATTTCTGTTGTTATTCTACCGTTATATACGCTATGATCTCTATGATCTCTTTATTCCACCAAGTTTTACTAGGAAGAACTTTAGGACTACAAACATGTTACACAAAGTCAATATATTGGTTTTAAAGCCTTTAAAGACCAAAATATTAATAAAACTTGGGTCTTTTTCTTACAAAAAAAACCTTTTATATTCACGTGAGCAAGATTGAAATATGAAAAGATTTCTATTGGAGCTTTTTGTGAAACTCCAGGTTGGCGTCGCGAAGTTCATTTTTTATGAAATTTGATTGAGTCAATCAGAATCCTTGTCGATCAACCAATGAAATCAAATTTCTGTTATGCTTATGTTATGTGCCACATATTTTATAGAAAATATGCATGCACATATTCTGCAACTAATATGATTGGCTAATCATAATCTTTAAATCTCAAGTAGTAAAATTATTATTGCTATAATAATAATGGCAACAAAAAGAGTAAATTTAGTACAACTTTATAAAGACAGCTACTATATTAGTTGCACTTCTATGTTTTGCAAATTTTGCAACATTAGTATTGGTCATAAAAACAAATCTAAGTTGAAGAACTAATAAGCATAAAAAAAATAAAATTACTATAGAATGAAAAATCAACCTTAACTTGTTAACCTTTTTTAAAGAAATGTCTTTTTTTTATAAATTTTATAAAATGGTCTTTTTTAACATATCAATATTTTTTAATTTTTTATCATAATTAATTATTTATTTATTAACATTTATTAGATAAATGAAGCATTTACTATAGATTGGAGAAAATAATAGAAGAAGAAAAATTGGATTTAAACAATTATTAGAAAGAAAAAAATCTCATATTACCAAATTTATCAAAAATAGCATTGATTTATATTTGGTTACCAGTAGCTGGAGTAGATGTAAAGCACAGTTTTCTAATTACAAAAATATTTTGATGAAAGAAGAATGCGTCCTTCTGAAAAGTCAATTTCAATGTTTAATTTTTTGTACTATTATAATAAATTAAAAAGTTATCTTATAGATCATATGATTTTTACCTTGTCACAAAATCCATCCAATCAGCTAAAATTAGCAAATCTTCAAAATCTATCCAATCAACTAAAACTGGCAGATCTGTGGAAAATACCAAATCTGCCAAATCTGTTATTTATGGCAGATCTGCCAGATCTGCCAGATTGACTATATCTGCCATTTATGTAATATATGTCAGGTATATGATGAAAGACCAATTATTACATTTCTTATTTTTATTTATATTTTATTATTATTATTTAATTTCTTATAAATAGGGTAGCTTTAGAACTTCATAAACAACAGAGAATTTACTTAGTTTTATCGTTAACAAGATAATTACTAAAACACTTGCATGCAAACAAATACATTTGTAATAATTTTTTTCTTTAATAAAACTTTAAATTACTTAACCCGTAAATTATACTTTGTCTCTAAAAATACATTTGATTGATAAACCTTCAGAAGCTCTCCATAAATCGCATTGCAAAGTCTTAAAGCTAAATCCCTTGTTAATTTTGCATTAATACTAATTTTCAGTTGTTAGTATCATAAGATAACACTATAAAATTAAATTAAATAAATTCAATTTTTTTGCAAATAATTTTTATATTATTTTATATTGCTGAAAAGTAAATTTCATATAATTTCTACCAGAATTATAAACACATATTATCACATATTCATTTTTCATATATATATTTTGAGGTTCATCACAATATATTTCTGAACATCCTAATAGGTAGGTAGCATATAAGCAGATTTATTTTATTTAACATATTGATATAAATGCTTTATTAGTCTAATTTATATGACATAACTGATCAGCATGCATAGATATCATGTCATGTGATTATGCAAATTTGATTAAAAATAATTTTCATATTGACAAATTATTGCGAAAAATAAAAATACTTAATAAAAAGAGCAGTTTCAACCTATCTAACTATACACAACCCATCTGACTAACTAAATATACATTCTAACCCTTTTTTTTCCTGAAGTTATAAAACCTATATAAGCATTATTTATTTATTTTTTTATTTATCTTTTCTAATAGTTTTTTGTTATTTATAGATCTCAAATATCTAAAGTTCAAGATTCAGCTAGATTTTACTGTTCGATCTGTACAAGACATACTAAAGGATTCAAAAGTCATGCAGATTTACAACAATATGAGATATTGTAGTATATATTGTCACCGGGAATAATCTTCTCTGGTTACTTCACGTAATATATCTAAGTTCCTTTACTGCGGTAAGTAAC